CTTCATTTCGCTTATGTAAGCAAAAATGGAATGAATCAGACCCACATCCTGGGAGAAGAAAGGGAAGAAAGAGTCCTGGGACTCCATCATCCATCCATCCTTCGGCAAGTGCTTGACAAAATGGAGTTTGGGTTATTTTTGGCAACGAAACGAAATTACGACACCCTTCTTCGACGCGACGCCAGCAAAAACACACAACTCTCTCTCTCCCTCTTTATGTCTCTTTTATGTCTACCTACATATATATTCCATATATATACAGGCATTATGTTTACCGTTATATACAAAGTTATCCAGGGGCCTGGGTCCGGGCATGTTGCCATGGCAGTTGAATTTCAAACCCTATTTTGGGTTTCAAAGTTGCTTCCGATTGGATAGATGCGGGAGTATGAGTAATTACAAATAATGCCCAGCTCTGTCAGTGAGAATAATTTTTTGGGAATGGTGAGGAAGTGCTTCGAAATGGAGGAGTTTGAACACATCTGCCCGACACACCCTCAGGACTCAGAACCCAGGCCAGAAATAGAGGTCTAAATAAATGGTAGAATGGTTAAATTGTTAATAGAGGTTGGGGGAGGGGGATCTGTAACCATCTGTGTGATGTATCTTGTGGATGCTTCTTACACCACCGCAGAGTTCCTTCGAGAAACACACTTTCACACTCTGGTTTTCAAACTCAAATAACAGGAAGTTAAAGAAACACGCAGATTATTTGGAAAGCTTAAAGTCATCATTAAAACTTGATTAAATAAAAATAAGTCATAATATAATTCTTTTGCTTATGAGTAACTTTAATATTACCAAAAATATTATGTATTTAAAATATATATACTTGAAAAATTAAAAAACTAAATCAATTTCAGTAACCTTTAATAAATATTATAACGAAATTCATACGATTTAATAGCTTACACAAAAAAATGTGACCATATTCCTTTAAAAAAAGGACTTGAATCAACTTGCACTTCTTCCAGTGACTTCCAATGAGTCTGCAACCCTGCCGCCCTTGAGGCGTTGCCAGCGTTTCCATTAATTATGCAAAATTTAACTTGATGCGTGTCGCCGAAGAATTATGAGCTCAGCTTTTAGCCCGAGGGATCACCGACTCTCTCCTTCCTCTTTCTTCCCGCCTCCTCTACACGATTCTTCCCCTTCCAGTGAGCTCACACATGCCATCAGGTCTTCTGTGCTTCTTCTTCATCATCTTCATCTTCTGTTTCTTCCGCCTCTTCTTATTATTATTTTCTTTTTCTTTTTTTTTTGTTATGCATTGGTCATTAAAATTAGGTCAGAGTCGGGAATGGAACACAAAAGCGAAATCCTTGAGATGACAATAACAACAAGAACAAACTAGTTCAGGCTTCTCCTTTGTTCTCTGTGCCTTCCCTCTCTTTCTTCATTGTTTTTTTTTCCTTTCTTTCTTTCTACCACTTCGATCCTTTTAGCTAGAACAACAAACACATGCACACACACATGTGTATGATCTTATTACGCAATGGCTGCCTACCTGACTTAATTATTATATCAGAGAGATCCCTGCTATTCCTACTTCCTCTCTTCCCTCTTCCTCGCTAACCCTATTTTTTTGCGATTCTCCTTGTTTCCTTTATTCGTGGCAGGTCAAAAAGGAGTGCTGGAAACTGCGCAGTTTTGACTGGAAATTGGACCTTGACTTTGCACCACATCGCCGCCTGAAAAAGAAAAGGTACCCTAGATCCTTGCGAGTCCTATAAGAAATCTTCATTTGGAATTGTTCAATTCCAATTCACGTTCCACCTCCTTTTCCCTTGTTCTTCTACACGTGCCCTTATTTCACTGCTTCTTCTCATTCGTTTTCGCATTTTTGTTGTTTTTTTTTTTGCAACACGCGCAGCGGGAATTTTATATAAAAAGGGAGTCAGGAAAGAGGGAAGTAGAGAGGGAAGTAGAGAGGGAAGAAGTCAGAGAGAATGATAAAAAGAGGGAGGGAGAGTGGGAAACAAGTACATACATGAAGCCTGACGAGGATACAATAAAAGGCTCTACGGACAAAAGCTTAATTCAATATTGGCAGTGCCAACATACCCTAGACTTTAGTAAAATTGATAAATATTTACATTTTAATTGAAAATAACTAATATTTAGTAAATAAAATAAAACTTTTAATTTTAATTAAATATTTAGTAAATAGAATAAAACTTTTAATTTAAAGAGACACTTAAATTAGAATACTTATGAAACAAGGAACGATTTTTATTTGACGATTTTAGTTGACAAATAAAACTTTAGAAATCACATAACTAAGCCAAAAAAGCTTTAATTGTAATTCGGGAAACTTTTTTATGCAAGTTTTTATTAGGTTAACAAATCTGCATACTCATTTAAAATTATAAAAAAAATTAAATTTGTATTAATATTTTAAATATTTTAATAACTACAAAATTAAAAAAAAAAAATTTCGAAATTTTATTTTTCCACCGGAAATGGCTATTTCGACTCGGCTGTTGATGCTGATCAAGAATTAATAAGACATGTAAGGTCGAAAATGACTCCTTCACTGACAAAATTATAAAACTATCCGCAAAGGTATAGAAATCTTAGTATTAATATCAATTTGTAGGAATTTATCTAAATTACATTTATTAATAACGGAATCTTAAAAAGCATGAAAGTTTTAAAATTTAAATAAAAATTGCTTCAACAAAATTACCTAAATAATATTAAGCCTTCGAAGGGTATTTCGTATCGCTCTAACATTCAATTTCATATTGCCCCTTCTTTGTGTCTTTGCTTCGAGAATTTTTTAATGCCTCTTTTATTACCGGCATTCGCATGGCGTTTCATTTGTACATATGCATGCACACGCACATGACTGCACATAGAGAATTATATACTAACTCGATACGCAATCAACGAGTGCGACAGAGATGGCAAGTCCGGGGTGAAGAGAAAAAGAGAGATGGCGAACACAGTTATTCCAGTGGCATTAAGAGATTAGCCAAGGAAAGCAAAAGTGCGCTGGCAAATTCAAGGCACTCGGCAACCCTGGTCCCATATTGTTTACTTTGCCGGTTTTTCGCACAAACCCACTCATACACAGACACACAGGCACACAACCGTTTGACGGCGTGACCGAACCCAACTTGTTCAATGTTTCGCCGCTCTGCAGTCGAGCACGTTCGAGGGGAAACGACGAACGGCGAACATGCAACGAACCAGCTTCGAGCCGCAACGAAAGTGAATTTTAAAAGTGTAAGTCGCAAGGAAAATTGCTAGGAAAAACTATAAAAAATTAATTTTTGAAATATATTTGGAGGTATTTTTTTAATTACTTATTCAGACTTAAAATTCAAAGTTTTTAGTACTTAAATAAGTACTTTCATGTTTATGAAGTAATTTCTTTGATGAATTTACGTATTTGCGAATCTTAATTAACATAAAATGTTAAAAAAAATAATAAATATGAGGAAAATATAAATTTTTAATAATATTTATTTATAAACAAAATTAATCAATATCTTCTTTATTTATTTGAAATAATTCGACAAATAAAAATATTAAAAAATAAAATATTACGCTGTAACAATATCACGCTGTACATTTTTTACATTTAAAAAAAATTCCAAGACCTAAAAATCATACTCCAAATAAAACTCCTCCGCAATCCAACCCCAAAATTTTCCCCTGCACCATTTTCCTTTTTTTAGCGCCAAAATCATTCTTTTTCAAACGCCAAATGAAAAGCGAGCGGTTTGGCGATGGTGGTGGAAAGTGAAAACCAGCCAACCACCACCCACCAACCCCCGAAAAAAGGAACAGCGCGGAAAGCCAAGGAAAAAAACGTTGGAAAACTCCAAACTCCGAACGGCGCTGCCAATGCCAGCAGAGCCGCAGCCGCTGCAGTCGCAGCTAGTTCGAAGTTCGAGCAGAACGAGTTCCAACGCGCGCCAGCTCTCTCGTGCTCGCTCACACCAACAGCCAAGGAGAGAAAGATCTTTTTAACTCCTACTAAATTTTACTTCCTACATGAGAATTCGACCCCATAAGCGAGAATTCTACCCCGTGTATCTGTTATCGTGTAAAATAGTTCGGTTCACGCGAAAGATGTAAATAACAAGCAACATTTCAAAGCGCTCAGTCTCAGTCTCAGCCAGCACCGGCGTCGACGTCGGCGTCGAAGTTCGAGCGAACAGAACGAGCGCACCGAGCTGTGGCAGCAGAAAGCGAAACGACACAAAAGGCAATTCGAAAAAAAAACTCGACGGTGGCGGTTGTGGCCGCGGCAAAACGTACAGTGAATTTGCAAGGAGAAAATTAAACTTCGTGAATTTGCGAGGAGAAAATTAACTACCGTTGGCTGGCATCAGGGAAATATTAACAAGAAAAACAGTTTGTTCTTTCCATTTACACAGTTTACTCGCTTTCGGACAGATTTTTGGATATTATACAGAATATGTGTGTTATGCGGTGTGTGTTATAGGTGACATGCTGGTTGTGTTGAGAAATCAAATGAAATGAATATAAAAGAATAATAATAGTACAACGGTTCTGCAATTCAATTCTGTCGGCAAAGATTTTTGCGCTTATTCCTTCACCCGGTTTCCCTTTTTTTCTTGCCGGCAAAAACAAACGGTAAAGCGAGCGGCGGACAAAAACAAAAGCAAAACGAAGGCAGAGCAAGATGTGAAAAATTGCCGAACATGGCGTCGCGTGTGTAGAAGAGAGCAAGAGCAAAAGCAGATAAACAATAGAAACAATTTTTGATACTTAACGTTCTACAAATATAACAAAACCAACAATAATAAACTCAGCTCAGGTACAACAATAACAACAAAAATTAAGGAAACCCATTAAAAATAGACTGCAAAACGTAAAGCGCGTAAGAAAAAAAATTCGCAATTCTTTTTTGGAAATATTTTTGATACACACAGCCAAGAGGTGTATGATAAAAAAAAATATAATAAAACCAATAAAGCAATAAAAAAATCAAGCAATTTAAAATACAATCAAATAATATATACAATTCCAAAACAACAAGAAAAAATCTTTAGACCATGCAAATTTATTAAGCATTTATACAAGAAAAATTCCGACAATTATACAACTTAAAAAAGGATCAGAAACAATCGAAGAAAAATTAATGGAAATTTTTCCATTAAATTCAACCGCTAAATTCTACAAATAAATAATGCACGTAAAACCAACAAATAACTAAAACTTCGCGAGAAAAAATACAAGAAACCAACGAAAATAAACCTCCAAGCTCTATACAAAAATAAATTCCCTATAAATAAAACACTGGAAACATTCAATAAATAAATACAAAAATCTGCAAGCATTTATAGAACAACAACAATAAACCATAAATTTCCAAAGCAATATATTGAGATATAAATTCCCCATTGCAAAATGCTGATCCGTAAAAGAAATTGAGCTTTTATTCTCTTTGAAAAATAAAATATTTTTTACTTAAAAACAAAACAAATTAAAATTAAAATAAAAAGCAGCCAGCGTGCATTTTGAGGAAAACCAAGGAAATTTATGGCGCCGCGTCGCAACAGTAATATTAGCAGCAGCGGCAATAGCAACACGCAGCAGCACACGCATCATCAACATCAGCAGCAGCAGCAGCATCAGCATACGCAGCAATTGCTGCAGTTTTACTCAGAGAACTCCACTTCCGGTTCCGTTCTAATGGCGCCCATGCAGGGCACCGGAAACGGAGTAGGTGGCGGCGGCGGCGGCGGAGGAGGAGGAGGCGTTGTACGTTGCTGCCTACCCAGCGGCGATTGCCGCAAACTGGACTCACTGATTGCCCTCAACGAGATCTCATTGGCGGACTGCATCCGTGTGCTGTGCAACAACGAGAATTGCTCCGCTGGACAGTATATGCATCGCGAGTGCTTCGAACTCTGGGAGGCGGGTGTCCTGCAGACCCTCAAGTCCAATGGCAGAACAAGATCCTGGTCGGAGAGGCAGAGATTGCAGCATCTGTGGACCAAGAAGGGCTACGAACTGGTCCACAAGGCCTGCAGCTGCAAGTGTGGCAGAGGACAACTGCGCAAGGACCTCGATTGGGTGGCTCCATCGGCTGCAAATAATTCCCTGATTTATCTAAATGGTGGCACTAACAGGGGCTCCATCAATGGCAACCTCAGCGAGGATGATGACAAGAAGAAGGCCAAGAAAAAGCGAAATCGTAACAACAATAACAACGCAGGAGGAGGAGGAGGAGGAGGAAACAGTGGCGCCGCAGGAGGAGCAGGAGGTAGTAACTCCAAGACGCCATTGAGCCAAAATAATGGCAACACTTATGGCGGCATCACTCCCAATCCCAATGTGGGTGTCATAGGCTCTGGTTTGCCGCATAATAATGCTAATAATAATGGCAGTGCCACCAACAACAACACCAATGGATCGGATCTGCTGCAGCCCAGCGTGGTGGCCACTTTGAGCAACATCCTCAATCCGAATAATGTCCTGGGCCTGGATCTAAGAGCTCGTGCTGGTAGTCTATCCTCCAGTGGTGCCGGAAGTGGCTCCACCTCGCCCTCGGCCTCGCAGTCCAGCGGTGAGATATCCGTTTCCCCCGTGCAACAGTTGCTGCAGCAACAGCAGCAGCAGCAGCAGCAACAACAGTCGCTCCTCATGCAGAATGGACTGGGTCTATCCAAGAATCTGCTGATTGCTCCACAGCAGCCACAACAGCAGCAGCAGCAGCAGCAGCAACAGTTCCCGATAAGGGCTTTGGCCAACATTAGCAACTTTAAGCCATTGGCCAGCTACGAGCAGCAGCAACTTGTGCAGCAGCAGAAGAACAAGGAAGTTGAACTATATTCCGAGCGAGTGCGGTAAGTGCAGAAATATATATTATATTAATATTTAAAACCATAGAATATGTTTTATGAAAATTTAAACTTAAAAAAAAAAAAAAAAAAAATTAAAGTGAAGTTCATGTATTTTTTGTGGGCATATAAAGAATATAATTCACTTATAATTGAACAAATAGGAATTTCCATGTTTAGCAGACCTAAACCCCTAAAAAGTTAGTTTACAAATATTGAAAATTCCTTAAAAACCTATCATTACTAAAATAACATTAAATACAAAAGTTTTTAACAAATTTCATAAGAAATATAATTATTTTTTATTTATGATATAATTTTTATCATCAAAACCTGGGTATAAACAAATAATCCCAGAGGAGAGTGCTTATAAATTTATTCAACAATTCCAATGAAACAAAACAATAAAAAAAGTCATAAATTGTATACTTTATAATGTGCAAAAAATAATAACAATACAAAAAGCTTTCAAAAGTAAAAATCTGTTTATTAAAAAACACTTTTTACATAATAATTATGCAAAATGCAATTTATATCTAAATTGTTTAAAAAAATATTTTCCCAAAGAGAAATTCAACGAAATTATGAATAATACACAGTTTTTGATAAAAATCAATATAATCGAAAATAAAATTCTGAGAAAATTGATTGCCAGTAGCGATATTCTTAAGTTTTGCACTCTGTAAAATTTAAAAAAAAAAAGAGGCCAAGGGGCAAAGCAAAAAAAAGGAAAAAAGAGTGAAATGTGTGTGGCGAAATTCCCCAACATGTGGTAGTCGGGGCGCACATCAGCAATTTCAATATTTATTCACAAAACTTTTATCAATTACACTGAACGGCAAGGCAAAGCCAAAGGGCAAAGAAAATACAAAAAAGTTCTTGCAAGAAGTTTCCCGGGAAATTAAGTTCTCGTTAAAAGCGAAAATTATTACAATTGTTAAGAAAACTTTTGTGAAATTAGCAGACAGATAAAAGGTGTGCAAAAATAAAGTTCTTTCTGCTTATATCTAAAATACTTTTGCTTAAAAAAATCCCACTCCTATAGTAAATTAATATTTTCTTATTCCATTATCATGTTGCTCAGTGTTATCAACAATTGAGGCGTTTGTTTGCCCATTTTTCGTTCATTTGCCGATCTTCAACGGCTATATATTATATAATAACCTTGATGTTTCTGTTTCCTTTGACTAATTCGCTGGCTGAGAACAGCTGCAGTCGAATATTTGCAAAAATATTGAAATATAAAATTTGAAGAAAAAAAAATTATAAACAATTTCTGTCTTTCGAGAAAGTTGACGATTTTTATTTTATTGTTCCAGTAAATTAGCAAGAGACAGGCTGTCTGTCGTCTCCTCTTTATTTGTGATTCCTTTTTTCATATTTTCTTTTGCAATATCTTCTTGTTTTTGATATTTCTTGCTGTGTTTTATTTCCTTTTGCTTCGTTGAAGTCCGAATTTTGCTCTGTTCTTTCTTTTTCACTTTTATTTTGGTGTTTGTTTCTTGTTCTTATGTTCTTGTTGAGTTATAAATCATAAAAAATTGAAATTATTGAAATTTATTTGCTGCCATATAGCAACAGATCCATCCATCCATATGTATCATCATCTGGAATTCAGACACATGTTTTTCTTCTGCTTCTTGTTTCCTCTTATTTATTTTAAAATGCCTGAAAACATTATTATTTCCGTTTCCAAGCGGCGCTAAAAAAATATTATTTATTTCGGTATTTCTCTGGATTTTCCTATAAAAAAAAACTTGAGCAAGAAAAAGGAAACAACAGAGTGTAAGAAAAAAAAACAAGAAAAGGAATTAGATCGTTTTTGTTGTTTTGAACGCGATCTTCAGGTTTTTGTTGTTCTCTTTTTTTCTTCAATCTCAACCCCCTCTTTATCATGCCGCATTCTTCGCTCTTTTCTTCTAAGCTGAGAACTTTGTTTTGCCTTTTATGGCATAATTCCATTCATTCTTCTGGTTTCTTTGCGCTCTCTTTCGCTCTCGCTCTCGGTCGGCTTTTATTTTGTGTGTTTCTTATTTTTATTTTGCCCACTTTTCAAGGCCACGATATTTGCGTTATTTTTTTGTTTTTGTTTTTTTTTTTTTGCGTGTGTTTTCACTCTCTTTGATCGTATTTATACCCTTATAGGGTATTATAATTTTAGTCAGAAGCTTGTAACACTGAGAAGCGGTAATTTCCGACCCTATAAATCATATATATTCTTGATCGATTTAGCCACCTAATAAATCCAATTAAAAGTAAGATAGGAAAACTTTGCGAATTAAAATCAACTCTTTTAGTCTTAGTTATGAGTTTGTTTTAAACTTTAATCTGTCAAAAAATGTCATATAAAAATAATAATAATAACTATTCAAACAATGCAAAATTTTAGGCTTGTTTATTTTATAGATTACAGATTTCATATTATAAATTAATTGTAAACTGTAAGGGTATATAAAGTTTGGCTTCCCGAATTTATTATATCTTTTCTTACTAAGCTCTATTTTTGCTCACTCTTTTTATTCTCATTTTATTTTGCCTGCAATCTTCGGTTCTTTTTTGGTCTGCAATTCCTTCTTGCTTATCAGCAAATTTCTGTGATGATTTGTGTTTAATTCAAAAATAAACGTCCATAAAATTGTTTATCGCTCTTTTTCGTTTTTTTTTCTTGTTTATTTCTTGTTTTGTTTGCATTTACTGATGTTTATTTTTAGCGCCACACGCGGGCCATTTTTATTTTATTTAATTTTTTGCACAGTACTTTTTTTTTATTTATTGTTATTGTTATTGTGTGTGTTGGTAAACAAACTTTGCTGATTTATAAAAAAAATCGTTGAATTCTTGCCTTTCCCTTTAAATTTATAGCTCCTTCTCTGTTTAATGAATGAATTCCTGCTCAGTGCGTCTCTTTCGCTCTTTTAACTTGTTTTGCCGGCACATTTTCAGTGTGTGTGTTTGTGTGTGTGTGTAAGTGTGTTTTTTGCTGTTCAATGTCAAGGTTAAGACACATTTTATGTATTCATTTTCGGTGGGTGGATGAGGCGGAAGTTTTGTTTGTTTTTGCTTGCCTCTTCCCGAACTTTTTTTTTTATATTTGCAGAAAGCTCTTCCTGCGCGGTCTCTTTTTCTCTCTCTCTCTCTTCCTGTCCCTGTCTGTCTGTCTGCCTGTCTGCACATTTCCTAATCCATAGGCCCAAAAATCTCAAGAGTAGGGTGCCCTCACTCTGTCTATACCCTAAGCTTGTAAAGATAAACGGGTATATTGATTATTATTGAAGGATATTTAAAAGAAATGCAAAAAACTATATAAATGTCGCTTTTTACCGGTAAATTAAATAATATAATAAAACTATATAAATATACTTAAAAAAATAATAATAGTGTCATATGGATATTTTTTGTCTACAACTATTGTCGAAAATTGGTACAATATTATAAAGAAAAGTAAGCAAAATATAATATTTGTAACAATAGTATTCATTAAATCGACTATTGGAGGTATTTTCTAAAAAGCATGTTCAATTTTTGGCTTATAAACCACCCAAGTTAATAAAAGAATCATATTTTTAAATGATTACAGGGTACATAAAGGTCTTAGCATATTTTCCCATAATTATTTCCTATTATTTGTATTTTTCGCGCCCCATCTCCCAAATAATGGCGCAATATGTTACTTTCCCGAACGTTCGAAATATCGCGCTCGCACAACTGCAAATAAATTGCGAAAGGCACGCCAAGAATAGACACACAGCAACAATAACAACAAATAACTACAAATTGCAATTCCAACTAGAAACCGTAATAACAACAAAGTAATAACATTTCTTTGCATTTGCATTTGCCCCTCACAACGGGGCGCTAATAAGAGTGTGACTAACCCCTTAGTTAAACGTGAAATGGGGTAAATAATGACTAGATAAGGTGAAGTAAAATTATGAAATTCCTTTTGAAATAGAATTCATGGAATTCTTTACGAGATTTTAATTGTTCCTCTATTTTTGAACCTAAATATACATACAACCGGGAATGTATTGATAATGATAATTTTTATATTGATCCCATAATTGAAAATATAAGCACTAATTCATGGACAATTAAAAAGAATACTTGTATTTTAGTTATAGGTTTCTGTATATCAAGTTATAATACATGATTATCCCAAGTTTCAGATCACTACCACTATTATTTATTATTTACTTTGTCAACAGAGGCGGAAATGCCTCAAAGTAAAGTATTCTCTAGTCGCTTGTCAAAAATACTTGCGTAATATTTGTTTTTAAATAACCAGACACAAAAATGCCACTCCCCCCCTGTGGCGAGTGTGAAAAATACAAAAAAAACTAAAGCGTAAATTAACAACTTTCGCACGACTTTTGTTGTTAAATATTATAGTAATGGAAAGTGCGAGTGAGAGGTACATATGGAATATGCAAAGATGTCTTATAGTATATATCCCCATATCGGTGCATAGTTTATCTTTGAAATTGTGAGCGGAGGGAGGGATTTCTACACACAGTAAATATGATTGAATTATAGTCGTGAGGCATGGCAAAAATTTCATTTAAATTCTGCTTTTGTTTTTCTCGTTATTTTCCATTGCCCCCCTACCACTCCCCTCCCCCCTCTCTTAGCTTCATTCTGTAAAAGCAACTAATTGAGCACGTTCCAAAAAAACTGTCGTCTAGACTTGAAGCATAAATTTCTGCACTGTAAAATTTTTATTAACGCGGAACCCCCATTACAGCCATGTCGATTACGATTTCTGTTTGTTTCTGCCGATGTTTCACGCTATTGTTTTTGGATGTTATGTGGAAGGGAAGGGGAGACCATATCATCATCATCATCAACATCATTCGTATTGGATATACTCTTTGTGAGGTTATGGTTTCACTTTTCGCTCAACGCGGTGATAAATAAACAAAAGACGCATGTGGATGGGTAGCGGAGCATGAAATGAAATGGTACGACTTGGATCTGGATGGTTATATGAATATATTTAGCTTATAGTG